GCGGCTATGCTAAACGACGGTGCGGGGTGACACGACTTGCTGGGGAAGGCTGCAACGGCGCGCGGCCATCCACGATGGCGGCCACGATGGCGGCGCCACTGTTCCGGTGAGCTAGGGTAGCTACAGACCTAATTGGTTAGCGCGTGAGCATCAGGAGGCTACCATGAACCAGGCCGAGGTGACGGTTGGGGTGGAGGATGACGGAGGAGGGCTGGCCACGTGCGGCCGAGCCGTGCGACGGTGCACCGCGGCGACATGGTTGCGTCAGCTATGACGGGGAGGCGGTAGAGGTTCCACTAGCGTGCGCAAGGTGGAGAGGGAGGCAAGGCAAAGCTAGTGGTGCAAGTGAATTGGCTCGGGAGAGATGATAGGATGGCTGCCCTCGTCTACGGTCGGACGCGGCCTTATCGGCACGGCGGCAGGAAAAACGCCAAATTGGAGCTTGGCAGTGCCTTCTTGGTCGGGCAGTGAGAGAACTTGATGGTGAAGCCGTAAACGTGTTGAATTAAACGAAAGTGATCACTCGGTGGCCAATTTAATGGCGCGGCTTGACGTCGGCAACAGAGGGAGAGAGATTGAGACGAGGCGGCAAGTGGGCTCGTCTCGGTCTCGCCTTGGCGGGACGTGGTCGGCGTGATATAGGTGTTAAGCGAGCGGACACAATCGGACAGGCGCGTGCGTCTATCGACCGGCATGGCTCGCGCGGGCGCAGTTCCATTAATGGCAAGGTGACGACGAGCTTGGCCACGTGCGTGCGGCATCTAACCGGGCCAACAGCGGGGTATAGGCACAGGGGACAGGCGTGGATGCGACGGTGATGCGACAACACCGGCAGCGGCTGCGTCGCGGCACGAGGCGGGTCGGCGGTGCGGTAGCGCGGCGAGGCAGGATGCAGCACCGCCCGGTCGTGCGACCTGCAGCAGCGGCTCCACGCGGCAGAGCCAGTGGCGATCAGGCCAGGGCAGTCGCAGCCGGACACGCGCGGCAGTGCGCGTGCGCGCGTAGAGCGAGCCGGCGTGGCGACGTCGCTCCCCGAGGCGTGGTGACCGCGCTCACCCGGTGAACTAGCCCAAAATCATGTCTTGCATGAATTTTAAAGCGCTTATAAAAACTAAACGGTTGCTCTGGAACATAAACCATCTTCACCATGCTCAAGAGAGCAGATTAGGCTACCAACTCGAGCTAAAATATGACACCACTTCTTAACTCAATTTCATAAAATAAATTCCCGAACATGGTATTGTCTTGCTGTCCATATACTTAAAAATATTCTAAGTCTTGAGCTAAATTTTGATTCCAAGTTCTATTTCTAGGCTTTTAGAAATATTGGCTAGCAATGTTATTTTTCTACAGCAAAGATTTCATTGCCATCTACAAAGTTCATATTCCAAACTTTATTTAAGTGCTACATATATGCTCTATAGTGTTTTTTTAAATAAAAATTAGTTTTAAACCCTACTTATACATATGAGTTATGGAATAGCTTCTTATTTAACATTTTATTGATCATCTTAAGTTACAAAAATGTTATCTACACATTCCATCACATGCATTATCACATAAATATGATGCTCATGACATGATTTGGTAATTTGTTTAGGGCGTAACACCGAGGGTATTACACATAGGAAGGAGCTTCGTGTGCGGCATGAGCGACAACTTGGTTTGTTGGGCAGCACAAGAAGGTAGAGACAATTTCCTCATGACTATGGGAAATTGGTTTGTTTAGTTGGCTCATATCGCCCTCTTTGGTTTAGGATTCTTCCTTTACAACCGGCTCATGTCACCCTCAAAGAAAAATGTGGCGTGGTCCGACCTATCCCAAGATTCATGGCAGCTTATCTGTTATATCATAGGCTGGTTTTCAGTCATCAAAGATATCCAGTTACGAGTATGTCGACCTTAGCCTTTTATGTCACGGTATACAATAGTTTATGGAGCCAGCATCCATTCGCCTAGCATGCCTTTACACATGCAAATCCAAGGCTTATCTCGTATGCTTCATTTTCTTATTTGTGCAATCAAATCGGACAATTGGTTATTGGTTAGTTCGAACAAGTCTATATGTAATCATGTTGTTCCTTTTGCATAACCTATCTTTCAATGCCTAAAAACTATATAATTCCAACAACTAAAGCTATATAATAAATATTCCATCTGAAATTTTGAAGTGTCTTTTTTCCGTGTTAGTGATTTACATTTAAACCATAAATAGATGAGTTTGTAAGTTTGTGGTCTACTAATTGTTTCTTCTTGATTTTTTCATGTTTCTTCTAGGGGCTCAATATGATTTTCTTCAACGAAGCATAGAGGAGGGCATAGTGGATGTAGAAGACATTGAGCTGTTTTTGTAACTTCCATGATTCATTCCTTTGGTATTTTCTTCTTCACAACTGTTGATGTGGACTCTAAGAAGAAGAGGTCGTTTGTGACTTCTAGACGTCGAAAGGTTTGAGGCTCTTGTTATTAGTGGTATAAATAATATGCCCTTGATAACACTGAGTAGTGGAAGAGAAGTTGATTTGAAGAGTCTGCAAAGTTAGATGATTAAAAATGCCAGATAAATATCTAATAACTAAAATTTTTGTGTAATTTGTAAGTATGACTCTATGACGCTGTGAATTGTAGTCGGTGCTGTCAAGGGCCTCGAGGAAATGTAACAACAACAAAAGGGATATTCATGTGTTCAGATTATTTGTGGCTCTAAATGAGTTTTATTTAGTAGACCTAAATACTTCATACACTTGGAGTAGCTAGAAATTGTTATGTGTCTGTGAACTTCTACAAAGTTCTTTTCTTTCTTGTCCAAATTGAAAGATTCTCAGAAATCTAATTAAGCGTTTTATAATTATTTTAAGGATATATATGCTTCATATGCTTCAGGCTCTTCAGAAAAAAGAAATAATCGATCAGCCCATGCTAGATAACCCCCTTCATGCGTTCATCATCAACATTTTTGTTCAATGAAAACAAATCTCTTGACCTCTCACTATATAAGTAATTTGTATATAATATTTTTCTCCCTAAGAATTTTTGAAAGCTAAGGGGAATGCGATCATTAAGGAAGCTCAACAACCTGCGAGGGAACACAAAGCACCTTTAAAAGGAGCAATTTTGTGAACTTGGGGAAGGCAATTGAATGTTGGTTTCTTTCCACATAGTGTCCATTGGCTTTTGGTATCCTCACACGAAGGAAAAATTGTCCAACCGGGAGGGTTGGGCCGATCAGACTACTCAGGAGGCCCAATCGGACGTGGATACCTCATCTACTAGAAACACAGGGCATAAGATGTACTCAAAAGCTGAAACTATTTGTAAAGATCCAATTAGACTTTTCCTGTAACAAACTAAGAAACCGAACTAACCCTTTTAGGACTTCTTCGGACAATATACAGAGATGTAAGGTGCCCCCAATCGGCATCAGGTTCATATCCATTGCAGCTACGAACATCAGCACCCCTCTCACCCAACACACGGCGCACAACAAGATTCAAAAAAAAAAAAAACACGGCGCACAACAACGAAGCTCTATTCCAGTAGACGTAGGGTACCTTGTGATACTTATTAAACTTGCATTTATATCCATGTAAGCTTCTGAAACGGAACGACTGTTTTGGCCATTTTTGGTTGCACCGTCGATAGATGCACATTTTTTTCACCGAAAAGCAGGTGCAATCGGGAGCCTTTTCATGAAAATATATATCATTTGTACTTAACTAAATACCACGCTATTTTTACTGACTGATTAGTTATTATGACTGAACTCTTTGTTCACCTTAAGTTAGTGAAAAAATATTCAAATAATGAGTCAAAAATGGTGGAAACCTCCCGCTGCCTTTTATTTTCATTATGAACCTCCCATGATGTAAACTGATATAACAGTGGAGATTCTACACCTTGAGAATCACCTCGACGATCACCGTGTGGCTTGCTTTGTACTTATATTGCCATCGTAAGTTATGAATTTACTTGTTACAATTCATTAATGGTTCAAATTTTTTTCATATGTTCAAATATAGTTTTCTTTTCACAGAGCCTGATGAAGAACATGAGGAGCCATTTTGGACATTTGGTATCTTTCATCAATTCCATAAGAACAGAAGGAGCCATTTTACCCAACGTTTTTCTAGTTCAGAGAAGTCAATTTTTCAAAGAAACTAGAATTGGAGTTATTTTTAGAGGAGCGAAGCTCTGCCAATGCCTAGTGGATGTTTGGTTGCTAGCCACACTTCATCTAAGATAAGTTTGACCAAATTAGCAAGTGTTTGGTTGGTGACTAACCTTAGACAAGATCCTTTTAGGCTCCACATGTCATATATTAAAAAAGTGTCACAAGATTCCCTTTGTCATGGCAAGTGTGGCTTCTAATTTTTAGCCACATTTTTAGTGTGCATTTCCTTAGTTGTGGTAGATTATGGTCGGAAAACAAACAGCCTCTAAGGCCTTGTTTGATACATGTGTATCCACTTCAATCTACGTGTGTTGGAGTGGATTGGAATGTAACTTAGTTTAATTACGCTTTAATCCATTTCAACACATGTGGATTGAGATGAATATATTTAGTTTGACGTTATGTGTTGAAGTGGATTGGTATGGAATTTGAACTAAATTACACCCCAATCCACCCCAACACATGTAGATTGATGTCAAACCGAATGCATCTTAACAAGGCCTAAGACCTTGTTTGAATATATGTGTATCCAATTTAATCCACATGTATTGAAGTGGATTAAAATAAAGCTAATCTACTCTAATATAGGTGGATTGAAATTAATATACGTGCATTGGCCACCTCGTGATTCACGACATGTGCGGCTCAAGCAGCACAGACACAGGCACTGCGAGGAGCTCGTGTGGCGCTGACACGTCCGTATTTAAAACCTCCTCACTCACTCAGCCATAGCCATCCCCAACACCCCCGAAAGGAAAACCCATCGCGCCAAATCCCCAACCCCAAACCCCCAATCCACCCATCCCCTCCTCATCCACTCCGGGCGGCCATGGCCTGCTCCTTCGCCGCCGCCACCACCGTCTCTTCCGCCCCCACCCCGGCCGCCAGGCCCCTCGCCGCTGCCCCGCAGTCCGTCTCCGTCGCCCGCTCCGCGGTCGCCACCGCCGCCAGGCCGCTCCGCCTCGCCGCCTCCAGATCCGCGCGGGCCACCAGACTCGTCGCCCGCGCCGGCGGCGTCGTAAGTTCTCCTCGCTTCTTGCCTCGCCTTACCGTACTACGGGTTTGCTTCTCACCCCCCTTCTACTTTGCACTCACGGCTCTCGCCCTTGTGCCTCTGCTCTGTAGGATGACTTGCCGCTGGTCGGGAACAAGGCTCCAGACTTCGAGGCCGAGGCCGTGTTCGACCAGGAGTTCATCAACGTATGTGCGACTCTCGCGTGGTTTATGTATGCTGTGGCAGCAGAACTCTGAAATGTTTCGTCCTCTCAAATTGCTCCTAATACCCTTTTATGTGGCTGGCGATGACATTGCTCTGTGTGCTTTTGCAGGTGAAGCTCTCTGATTACATTGGGAAGAAGTACGTCATTCTGTTCTTCTACCCCTTGGATTTCACCTTCGTCTGCCCGACCGGTGAGGATAAAACAGTAGCATTAGTATCAAGAAGACACGTTTGGAGTGGGTCTATGAGATTCTGATAAACTAACGCCTGATACTTGCAGAGATTACTGCCTTCAGTGATAGATATGAGGAATTCGAGAAGTTGAACACTGAGGTTCTTGGCGTCTCCATTGACAGTGTGGTATGTTATAATGCCCTGGTATTCCATGATATGATAGCATCTATCAGTATGAATCAGTCTGTCAATTGTTCTTAAGGATAAGTGAGTGTAGTTGACATCCGATGCCTCCACTGTTTGTATGGGGATTGTTCTCTCATTTGTCATATGTCGTAGTTAGCTCTTGAAGTACATTTCAGCTTTGATATGTACTAGATCATAACTGAAATAGAATTATTATGGTTGAACTGCTCCTATAATGAGAAATTCACGTGCTACTGCTAGGTTATCTTTGGAGCACAACTGCTGTACTTGTATGCATGGTTCTTGAGCATAGTCACATTATTTCTGGAAAGTATGTTTATGTGGAGTTAGAAAATAGCAGTTATACAAATACACAATGTTCTATAACAAGTAAGGTAGTGTTTCCGTTACACATGCCCGTTTCAGTTTTTGGCAAATTAGTAGGACCACACATGCGGCTTTTTTCTCATGTTGAAAGATACGTTCTGCGCATTACCAATGTAACTATTAATAGAAAAATCCATCTACATGAACATAATAGCAATGACACTAGGGATGATAACGGTCGGAAATGGTACTATAATACAGAATCTGAAAGCGGTTGGTACCGGATTTCCCCCTTTTGTCAAAATAACTAATGAAAACGGTTGTGATAAAATCACAAAATGTCAACTTTCATGTTTTGATAGAAACGGAAATGGTATGATAATACGGAAAATGATATTGGTCGGTGCAGTATTTTCCCGTACCTGCTTTCACCTCTAAGTGACACATCACTATCCAGTATTCATTTTTGGACTTTCTATTGGGACTAAGCACTCACGTTACACTTGAGGCCTTAAATTTAACCTTTGTTGGTCCAAAGAAAATGTCTTCTTAGCTTCATAATCTTATTAAATTGATCGTTTCTGTTCACTAAAGTACTTTACAAATCTTTGGAGAACTGTATAGTCCCTCCATTTTTAAATATGCACCATTGACTTTTTACTATAATTTTGACCAACAATATTATTTAATTACTTAGATAAGTAAAGTGAAAAACTAGATCTGTCATCAAAAGTCAAATATTTATAGAAGAGACAAATAGTCAAACAAATAGAAGAGTCAAAGGTTAAACAGAGGGAGTACAATGCAAAATGCCCTAATGACTTGTATATTTGAAGTCTTTATACAGCTATGCTTGTATGATTTGTTATTACTCCCTCTGTTCCAAATTATAGGTTGTTTTGGCTTTTCTAATATCTAGACATAGCGTATATCTAGTTGCATAGCAAAAGCTATGTACCTAAAGCCAAAGCGACCTATTATTTGGGACTGAGGGAATACCTCTTTATATCACTGTATGTATGTGGACATGTGGTCACAAGTAGAAATCTTGACATATATAGATCTTGGTTTTTGGTTACTGTGATTTCATCATAATCATAACTGTTGTTAACTGTTTTAGTGTTTGTTTGGATGCAGTTCTCCCACCTTGCATGGGTGCAGACAGACAGGAAGTCTGGTGGGCTTGGCGATCTTAAATACCCACTTATTTCTGATGTCACCAAATCAATTTCAAAGGCCTTTGGTGTTCTGATCCCTAGCCAGGTTTTTTTTTTTCAACCACTGGATATTCTTCTCCAGATTCTTCCCCTGTGGAGTCCTTTTTTTCCATATTATGTTTCTGCTTGTTGCTCTCTAAATCTGAATGTTCTTTGGGCAGGGTATTGCTCTGAGAGGATTGTTCATTATTGACAAGGAGGGAGTGATTCAGCACTCTACCATTAACAACCTTGCCATCGGTCGTAGCGTGGATGAGACCATGAGGACTCTTCAGGTATGTTCTATGTTGGTTGTGCTACATTTCTGATAGGCAGTTGTCCTGGACTTCAGAAATTCGAAGTTCTGTGCTGTTACTTAAAACATAAAGTAAAAGGAATATGCACTTTTGTATTCATGGTGTTTGTGATACACAATTTGAACAAGATTCAACACCGGTGTGCATTTTACATTTAATTGTTTGTTAACACTTGACAGTGCAATATAGTTCTCCATTTGCAGGAACAAAATAAACTATTTCTAACCTTTAAAGCATACTCTAATCCAAATGCTTTAAAATTACAGAAGAATTATTGAAAATATGTACCTTATTTATGTGGCTACTTCCTTTGGCATTACAGTACAAGGTCATTTTACTATAGTACTATACTAAATATAACTGTCCAAGTACTACACATACCACTTTTCATAGGTCAAGATGCATCATAGCAAGTATATATTGAAACAAGTGAGGCTCTTGATCTGGGATGACGTTATGTAGTTTCCCAATGAAAAAATAAGCATAATCCCAGGATTGCAGTTGTGGTACATCATTGGGCATTTTGCTGAGCTGGGTTACGCCCGACCCAATTACATAGTTGCTTTTGCCATTTTATACAGTCCAGCGATCACAATCGGAAGAATATTGAAGTTGACATCACATTTCAATGTTTCACCAGGCATTGCAGTACGTCCAGGAGAACCCAGACGAGGTGTGCCCGGCCGGATGGAAGCCAGGGGAGAAGTCGATGAAGCCCGACCCCAAGGGAAGCAAAGAGTACTTTGCGGCCATCTAGACTCGCCGTCATTGAGAAGCTTTGATACTCTATCATGGTGCCCGTTAAGTGCCCCAGCGGTAGGTCCTTGTGGAGTTTTGCGGAGCTCGCGTTTTGACATGCCTCTGTGCCTTGAACCGAGTGTAGTAGCCCCTGTGCTATTGTGCACCCCGATTGAGTGCTGTTCTTTGCCACTTTGTTTAATTTTTCACCTGACGAATAAGGTTCATTTGGCACGTGATTGAGAGCTCACGCTTCTGGTGTAGTTTGTTGGGCTTTTGTTTGTACCATTGTCTGCTAAATTTCGCGTCGATGCTGAGGCCTTTTCTAATTTATGTGGGCAACTACAACGTGCGCTGCAGTTCCTGGCCCAAGCTGGTATGCAAAAACGCAAGACCCACCCACCTTGGGCCCATAACTGAAGCTCCCTCTCTCTGTTTTTGCAGGCCCGTACGGCCTATTGCCACAGTGGACTTGAGCTGCGTTCATCCAGGATCTGCTGTCTGGAATCTTTGGATCTTATTCCCTGTTGTAGTGTTAAACATCTCGGTCCGGATGCAAATTGTTTTGAGCTGTCTTTAGAAAAACTGGATGATAGCCCGCGCGTTGCTGCGCGCGTTGCTGCTGGGATTTTGCAGCACTACTATTTGAGAAGGATTCACAGAGCGAGAAATAACAAATCATGAAAAAAATATTTTGTATCTATATATGTGACTTCCACCATCTTATGCACTTGTAGCCTTTATTGGGTATGAAATATAGCTGAGTTACTGTGGCACATGCTAACTGCTCACAGTACATGCCTACTGTATGTGTGTGTGTGTCATATATACTCATATGTGCCACGAAAAGACTGCAGTAATGAAAGCAAGCAGCTCGACCTCCTCATCTCTTTCCTTCCATATCCTTGCCCAGAATTCTCTCATGGGCCAGATTAATTCCATCGTGATGCCCTGCTCCTGATGACTCAAGGAGCTTGGTGCTATCCTTCTACGTCGTTTCATTAGCAAAGTGCTCCTCCAGACTTTCTTAACAACCCTGCGATCAAGATGCGACACATCAAAGAAGCCGGATTGGTTCTCTCCCACCAGGCCATGACGATAAAACCGGGTGACTAAGGCTAGTCTCAATGAGAAGTTTCATGTTCTAGTTTCCAAGAAGTGACACTGAGAATGAAATAGGGTCTCTCAGTGCATAGTTTCATTTCACCGTTTCATATGCTAGCTTTACCATTTAATTCTTGAATACAGTAAAAATCAATGTGGGACCCACAAGAAAAAAAAAACTCACACACAATCCTTACCCCAAGTCTGCTTGGTTCTCTTCCAGTTGCGTCCAACAGACCACGCCGGCACGCCGCCTCCGCCGAACCCGTCGAGCCATGCTTTCCACCTGAAAAGCTTTAACTCCGCATCCTCAAGATAGCAGATGCCTCGTTTAGCCACTCGGCAACCTCTTCCTCTTCGCCGCTACCGGAGGGTGGAGGACCTGCTCCCCATGTGTGATCTGGCACGACTGGGTTTGGCTCTCATCCTAGTCGAGCCCGGCAGCGCATTCGACCTTGCGGGGTAGGGGAAATTCCATTCACCAAGAGCCAGATTCTAGACCTCGAATCGTTTCTTCTCTATCCTCCAGGATCTTCTCTGTGGAGATGGCATTTAATTGCCGTGCGTGTGCGTTCGTCGGAGCGTGGCCCGGGCCAGACAGGGAACTGGAAGAAGAGGTGCAGACGGAAAGGAAACGACTGGCGGGGGCAGGAAGCGGAGTAGTCGCACGGGAGACTGCAAACGTTTCACTAACACAACGCGGCGATTTAACGGCAAACGCTTCATGCATGCATGAATGGCAACGCGGCCTGCGGAAGCTAGACCAGTTGGTGGACGCATCCTGCGGCACCGGTCATGAGTTGGAACTCTCTCGGGGGCGAATTTTAGGCCTAACGATAAAAAAATTCCCTCATCTGTCCCACACCAAAATACAGGTCTATAGCTGTCCCATCTCACGGGGATACTGGTGCCGCTGTATACGGGTGAGGCTAGGTTTCGGTGATTTTCTCGATCTACGTGTGAAGATCTTCTTTTTAATGAAATACTCGGTGGGACGTCGCCCCCCACGGATTGAGTTTTATGAATGGCAAAGCGACGTTTTACTTGCAACACGGCTATTAGGATTTGTCGTGCATGAATATGTGATGATGATGTGGCTGTAGGAGGAGCCAGTAAAATTTTGTAGTGGGGTTCTCCTATTTAAACACAGAAGATAGAAGATAGATCTAGATCAGTAGATTTATCTAGATCTATTATGGAGCAGCTGTATCGGGGAACTGGTCTCTCACTATCTTTATTGGAAAAGCTCCACCGTAAATCTGGACTCAGCAAATTTAATATACTACTCAGGCCAAATTAAAAAAGGACACTAACACACACAAATTGCCATCTTCTTGGACTCGAGCGCGCGTGGCTAGGCGTGGGAGGGTGGCGTCTCGGCACTGGGCTCGGTCGGGTGACGTGCCAAGGAGGGAGCTGCACGTCGGCCGCCGTAGATCCCGCCCCGCCTAGGGAGCGTGCGCGGCATGGCAGCGATCGGCAGGGCCCATCTTGCCATCTGGAGGCGGCGACGATATTTGGTGGCCGGGAGAGGAGCGAGCACACAAATGATAGAAGCGTCGAACGGAAAAGAAACGAATCAATACGGAGCTCTTTGGATGCAACAAGTTACAAGTTAAACTATTGATAAAATTGTAATATCTTTCTAAGGGATAAATGATATTAGTTAGCGAAGAGAATTTGGCTTCCATCCGGTAAGTGCAACCCTTCTTCTTCTTTGATTCACCCCGGTAGCAGTAAGAGAATTTGGCTGAACACTCCTACAGGCTATAGGCTACAGGCATGAGGGGACAACGCGCTAGCTTCTTCTTCTTGTGCTGCTACAGTGTGCTACTCTCCCATTTGCAACGCCCCCTTCTTCCTCTTGGTTGCATGCAAGCAGATGCATGGACGCGCTTTCACTGGCAGCAATACTCTCCTACAGGCTACAGGCATGCACGCACGACATGATCGAGTGCAGAATTATTTGGCTATACACATACATATGTATCGGACAATTCCCATGCATGCATCACTCTAGCTAGCATGGTAAGAAAACTGCAGATCGGTCGGTGCATATGCATTGAACCATCTAGAAGGCCAGAAGGGGATGCAGCTTGTAAGTTGTAACAGTTCCTGATCGAGCATCTTGCAGTAAATCTTGGAGTCACAAAAGGGGGCTTGACTTTTGCATCATTTAAAAATAGGTTAATTTGATTTATTTATACATTTTTTTTGTAAGCATTTAAACTTAGAGAAATAATAACTTTTGTTAAACTAAAATCAACTATAAGGTCTAGCTACATGTTTGTGCATACATGCTGCTGCATATTTATTTTTGTAATGAGTAGGTTTGATCAAAACTGCAAAAGAATTTAAATTTGATTTGAATTTGGTTTTGTAAATGTGTTTAAGAAAAAAAAAGGAATTTTACCTCTCCCTTCCTCTCTCCCTGGTTTTGGGCCGCTCGGCCTTGCCTCTCACACAGCCCAGCTTCCACCCCCCTCTCTTCTCGTGGCCCAGCGCGCTACGCGCGGCCCAACTAACCGGCCGGCCCAGCTCTTGAGAGCAGGCGTGCTCTCCTCTCTCCCTTTGGCTGACCGCCGGGACCCACGCCTTGAGTTGCCGACAGGTGGGCCCGCTCTGTCAGCGTCGTCCCCTACCTCGAGTCGGCTTCGAGCCGAACTCCTTCGGAGGAAATCTCCGCGCTCGGCCCGGTTTTCGTGGGATTTGGCGTGCGCGCCACGCCGAGGCCCCCATAAATAGCAGCCTTGCGTCCGCCGCCTTCCTATCTAGCCCTAGAGCAAGCCACCACCTCCAATCGAGCCCGCGAGAGCCACCGCAACCCTAAGCGCCGCCCCGAGCTTGAGCTTCGCCGTTTCGCCGCATCGCTGCCTCCGTAAGTTTTTCACCGAGCTTCGCGTCGAGTTTGCGAAGCCGCCGAGCCCCTTCTTTCTCTTTTTCCCATGTTGGTTTGCTCACCCCGCATCGCCAACGTTGCAGATCGATGCCGTCCGCCTCGTCGAGCCCCACGCCGCCGTAGTCCCGTCTTCGTCCGCGAAAAGTCCTTGGGTGAGTTCGCCATCGTCTCCTTTTGCTTCCGATGCTTTCCCGAGTTAATCCGAGGTCTCTAGGGCCTTTTCCCCTTTTCTCCGGCGAGGATTCGCCGTCGCCGGCCAAATCGCCGCCGCGCCGCCACTGTTCCGGCCGGCCATCTATTCTCTCTCTCCCTCTTCTCTAATCTTGATCGTCCAGATTAGATCCAACGGTTCAGAGTCAACGATACCCCTTTGCCTGTCACTCTTGCTAAAGAGCCCCAGAACTTTTCCATATTCGAACCCGTAGTCCCTCAGTTAGATTTAAAATCATTTCTATTTATTTTTATTCTGAAAATCAGATCCATCTATTTATAGTTTTGCCACTGACTTTGTTTTATGCATAAAATCTCTGTTTTGATCCGTTCAAGTTACGTTAGATTCGTAATCGCGTAATCTACATGTTCATACTACTGTTAGATATGTTTTCAACTTTTGAATTTTGAGATTAGTTTTAATCTATTATTTTATTAAAGGAAATCTTGTTTAATTCATAACTTATTCGTTATAGCTCCGATTTTTGTGATCTTCGCGTTTGTGTGTTCATAGCGAGACATAGATTTATTTTACAAACTTTTCATCTTGATTTTATGCTATTGGTGTACTGTTCTAATCTATAGCCTTTGTTTGCTATGCATAGATTCGTTTTACAAACTTTTCATCTTGATTTTATGCTATTGGTGTACTGTTCTAATCTATAGCCTTTGTTTGCTATGCATGATTGCCTCTGGATGCTTGTATGTTGCTGTGTTGATCGAGTATAGACGGTGAGCAATTCGTGGGTGATCAAGAGTACTACTTTGACGAGCAGGATCAACAGAAACACTTTGATCAAGTCAAG